AGGACACTAGGATTTGGGCAAAACAAGAGAGTTTTCACTGTTGCTGCTGCTCAGTCCATCAATTAAAAGAGTTATTTTTTTCTTATACCCTGTATCCATTGAAAATGTGTAAGATAGGGCATATTGCGCCTGGTAAAAGATAGCCTTATAAAGCATATTTATAATCGATTAAAACAAAGTTCTCTCTATGGAATGATGTCTATATGAACGCAACAATCTTCGAGTCTTAAGGTCTGGAGACTCTGAAAGAAAACTTCTCGAAATTACAACTAAAAACATAGCTTGTATGCTTCTAGTCTCAGAAGAAGCCAGGAAGAAGCACAGAGGCTGAAGAAGCAAAGTAGCGGAAGATACGCTGAAAAAGCACATGGGATGAGGAAACAAAGAACAAGCTTAAAAAGAAGCACATGCGCTGCCAACGGCAAGAAGATGCACAAGGAAGAAGCGATGAAGAAGCACAAGCGAAGAAAAAGCAGAAGAGAAAAAGAACAAGCGAGGAAGAAGCACAGGCGAGAAAGAAGCAAAGAAGAAGCACAGGCGAGTAAGAAGCAAAAAAGAACTCACGCGAGGAAGAAGCAAAGAAGCACAGACGCTGAAAAAGCGAAGGAGAAGCAAAAGAGAAGAAGCACAAACTAGGAAGAAGCAAAAGTAGGGAAGAAGCAAAGAATAAAAGAAGCAAAAAAGTGAAAAAGAGGAAGCACAAGCGAGGAAGAAGCGTATGAAAAGCACACACTCGAGGAAGAAGCAAAGAAGCGCAGAAGTTGAAGAAGCGAAAAAGAAGCAAAGAAGAAGCGAAGAAAAAGCAAAGAAGAAGTATAAGCGCTGCGTGAGTTATGCATAGAATAAAGCTGGAACATTCCAGATTCGGAAACTTCTCTTACTTGTCTCTAATTTCTGGAATATTCGCGCACTTCTTTAACTTCTTTCTCATATCCAGCCCAGAAGAAAATAAGAATCGATAAAATCTTTAGCAAATTTTGACTTTGTTTGGCTTTTTTTTAATGTGGAAAGTTGATTTAATTTGTATTATGCCAAATTTCCCATTTCCCTTGCGATGCGGCAGATAGGTTCGAGGAACGCCCCCCCCCCCCTCCGCCCCTCCGCACCCTCTAGCTGCTCGGACTTGGTAAATATGAAATGAAGAAGGTGAAATTCAAGTGCCGACGAGCTGCAACAACAAAAAAAATGGAAGAAATTGCACTTTATTTAAAAAAAAAAAAAACAAAGAATGAAAAAATAAAACGAAAAATATGCACTTAATGAAAAATTGAACTTTTCCGCATATTCAAATATATCAATGCTTCTGCCCCCCATTGACACGCCGCCTCGTCCAGAGACGATGATGTTTCATTTATTGAGATAAATATTGTTGAAGAGTTTTGCATTTAATTTGAAGTACATATTTTTAACAACAAATATCTCGAAGTCTCGAAGCGTTAAATCGAACTGAATACAAAAACTCATCTCGATATTTAAGCACAACACAAAGATTATTTTGTGTGCGGCACTTCTCTAATTAAATTATCAGAGAAGTGTTTGATCTAAGAAAAATGATTGTGTGCCAATAAACTAGAAATTGTTGCACGTTTATTGATTATTTATCTTCAAATGCTCAAATTGCCAATTTATTAACACTTGTGAATCAGTTTTAATTAATTGCCTTGCATGCCAAACGGGCGTCTATTTGGGTAAGAAGCAGCAGATGGACCTATAGGGGGGGCAAGCGAGAAGGTTCCCGGCTCGAAACCCAGGCTAAGCCAGGGCTGAAGCTAAGTCTTAGCCAGGCTATCTATAAAAGGTTTACCCAATGCACATTACTTATTCATTAATTAAAATTATTCTATTCTTGAAATAATTAGTGTTTATCTCCGTCTTTTCGGGAGCTCGATCTCTGAACTTTGTGCTCAGCTTGCAAGTCTGACAATGTGTTGGCCTTTCCCGTAAATCCATTTTAGAATTGGAACTTGCACTTTTGATTTTCATGGTTTCATGAATCGAATCTACAATCGAGGCTGCATCGAACCGATAAACGAGAAGTCGCCAGTTCGAAACGTCGTCAGGGCCTAACGCTTTGTTATATAGATGCAAATGCATGAAAAATGTGAATACAAATCGTATATAAAAGTTTGCCATAGCGGGCAGGCACTGTTGTCAGTATGTGTGGCATATTCGAACTAGCAAACGAGAAATCGCCAGTTCTAACTAAGCAGCCGCCTAGCTCCACACGCTTTTTTATTTAGCTTACGGATGCATATGCCTGAAAGTTTGTTATAACGAGCGAGCACTGTAGTATTTGTGGCATATTCAAACCGGCAAACGAGAATTCGCTAGTTCAAATGCAGCAGCCGCCTAGCTCCAACGACTGTTGGCCTTTTTATATCGATTAAAGATGCAAATGTGAATACGATTCATACAAGTTAGTTCGTTATAGCGAGCGAGCACTGTGATGGGCTTATTCCGCTGAGCATTCGGGCTAGTTGAAGAGCTGGCAAGAGGCAAGAGGTGGGCCTTTAATTTGTAGCTTGCAACAAGGTCATAAAGCACAAGTGCTTCAGGGCAAAGGCAGCTGTGTGTGTGTTGGTGTGTGTGTGTGTGTGTCGGGCAACTGTAGCAGCCGAAAAAATATTTATGTTATTGTGCAACAAAATGCATTAACTCAACAGTTGCAACAGTTGCTGCAATTGCTGAAGTTGCAAGTGGCAACTTGTCTTCCAGCTCTGTGTGTGTGTGTGTGTGTTGGTGTGTGTGTGTGCAATGTGCCTCGCACAACATTTTACATTCGATGACGTTTTCATTGCTAGATGCAACGTCAACAATAACAGAAATAGAAACAGAAAATGGAAACAGAAAATGGAAATGGCAAATGGCAAATGGAATAAACTACAAAAACAACTCTTCAGCTGTTTTGCTCGCATGAATAACTGACCAGACTGAGTGTGTGTGTGTGCGAGTGTGTGTGCGAGTGTGTGTATATGAATGAATGTATAAATGAATAAACAGTTTGAGGAGCTGCAAGTTTTGCCACGGCTGCAGCTCAGCTCAATTCGCATTGTATTCACTTTTCGATTTTTCTATGCTTATTTTTTGTTGTTGTTGCTCCTCGAATACCCTGTAAAAAAAGGGCTAAAAGGCGCGCCCGACACGCGGACCAAAAATCTCAACATTTGCACTAAAAACAAGTTATAATCTTTTCACTTTTTTTTCTCAATTTTAGCAATCTGTGAATAACTTCATTTAAGCAAATGCTTTACTTAATTCAAGCCAAATTGTGCTTGCTTTAAGCAATTTTCTTACACTTGTTTCAGTTCTGCAACTTTTTGTTATTTTTTAAATTCCACATTGTTTTCTTGAAGTTATTTTTAGTTTAAATTTAAGTTTTATTTTAAAATCGAGTCTGTTTCAACTTAAATTAAGTCTGCATATCTTAAAATGTACACAATTTTGCGTCTTAAAAACTCTTTTGTTTCTCATATTTCCGCAGTTCCGCATAAATATGCAAGAGTTACATTTACGACGAATCCTTTGGGTAAAAAAAAAATGTAAATTAAGTACAATTGTTCTTTAAGGAAAACTATTCTTAAAGTAACTGAAATATTAAGTACAAACGTATTTTGAGGGAAATTATCTTAGAAAAAAATTAAGTTTTCAGTTCAAAGCCTATTGTTTCTTATTCATTCATTTCTATTCTATCCATAAATTCTTCATTCTTCCAAGTGAACTCTGCTACAAAATAATTCCAGCAATAATTTCCTAACAGAATATTTATTTATTTTCGTATCTTGAATAACTCATCAAGTTTTATTCATTTATTAATTTAAGATTACAATCTAAAACAGAGTTCAAATTCTTTAAAGTTTATTTTATTCATAAATTCATGATCAGAACCCGATTTGAATATGTCAACGCTGACAAATTTGTATAAACTATCTGATACCTTTTTTACTTTTTACTCTTTTTAAATATATTTAAAATAATGAAACTTAACATTAGTTACAAAGTTGGGAAATTTTGTAGTCAAGAGAATTTGGATTTGCGTTTATTTTTTTGAACAAGACTTCACAATTAATTTAATTAAATCAAATTAATTAATTAATAGAGAACGGCTTAAGCTGAAAAATTTGATATATTGAAATAATTTATAAACTCTTCCCATTATATTAAAAAAAGAAAAGCAAATGACGTACAATCTAGTTTTGAGTCGAAATATTTTCTACTTTTCTTTTTGCTTCTTCACAAAATCCTTGATTTTGAGTTGAATTCAATTTTATTTTTATGTGATTCGTAAATACTTGATCAGAATCCTAACTAAATAACGTTCTATCTTAATTTGAGTCAAAATACTTTCTACTTTTTCTATTTGTGTTCAGAAAGTCTTGGCTGAGACCTTAAGAAACTATAAAAACTGAAGTAGGACAACAGCTAGAGCTGAAAATATTGCTATTTTTAGATTGTTTTCTTCAAATTCTAAAAAAATTCGTCACATTCTATTTAAAAAAGATTTCAGTAACTTGGTTAGTTTATTAAGTTAAGTTTCTGCTTTGTTCTCATAAACTCTTGAACAGGAAGCCGTCCAATAATTGGATTGATATTTGATTTATATTTATCATAACTTTAAAAACTCGATACAACTCGAAAAGGAAAAGAAATCTTATTTTGAGTAAAAATTCAATTTTATTTTGGGCTCAATTTAGGACAATTCTTAAGCTTCAATTTTATTTTTAGCTTGGAATTCCACGCACTTAACTTTTATTTAGTTTATTTCACAGCTATCAGGCTTAAGATGTGAGCTTTGATTAACTAAATTCAGTTGTGAGCCTGGACTGACTAAATTTAGTTGAAGTATGCTCAAAATATCTTTAAGTCGGGCTGCCTGCTAGGCAGGCGATAAAAGTTGACGGGTTGACATGTCATTAGGACGCTTAAACAGGGTATCGTTCAGTTGAGCAGTTAATGTATTAGCACATTTTGTGCTTGATTTTGCGAGTGCATATTTCACTTACCGGAACTGCAAAGCAGAACGATTGCTGAGCAAGCGATAAATCCAGCTGCCGAGAAGCAGAACGTCTGTCCCTGCAATGCCATGGCGTGGGTAGGGGGAGGGGGGGGTGGGTGTTGGGGAGGGCGCTTTCAGCTGCAGCTAGAGTGGTCTAGGATGGACCCGAAAATACGTTGTCGCAGTTGATGAAGTTGTTGTCAATGTTGTTGAGCGTTTTATCTGGTTGTCAGCTAATGCACAACAGATCTGATTATCTCGCTCTCTCGCTCGCTCTCGCTCTCTCTCTCTCTCTGTCTCTCGTTCTGTCCGTTGGCTCTTTGGCCTTTTAGCTGGCCGTCAAGTTTATTCAAAAAACAGCTTCGAGCTGAGTTTTTGAGTGCTGAATTCGTTTGCCGGCTTCACCGAGCCTTGGCAGCAGCAGCTCGTCTCTTGGCCACATTGTTGCCACATTTTGGGCATTTGGCCCCGCCGCTGACCGCCTCTCGCCTCTCTCTCTCTCTTTCTCGGTGTGCTGCGTGTGTCCTGTGTGTCCTGCTGCTGCAGCCGGCTGCACATGCAAATTTTAATTTCCGTTGCTTTCTTCGATGTGCACACAACTGACATCCTTCATTTCCGCACCACAAACTTACTTTCTCTCTCGCCCTCTCGCTCTCTTTCGCTTTCGCTCGAACTCACGCTCAGCTTTCTTTTCAAAATTCTTTTTATTTTTTCAATATTTTTGCCATATTTTGCACTTGAGTAACAAAAAACAAAAAAAAAAAAAACTTGAAAAAAATAAAATTTTCACCAACGCGCGCTATTTTTTTTGTTCTTTTTTTTTTTTTAATTTAATTTGCTAGCAACTTTTTTCAAGCAAAAACTTTAAACAATTTTTGTTTCATTTATGCATATTTTCTTACTTAGTTTTGTTTCTTTGCAAATTTTTTTAGTTGAACCAAAAATAACTTAAATTAAGTTTGCTTTTCATTGAATTATTAATTTTACTTTCAATTTTTGCTGCTTTAGTTTAATTTCTTTTAATGTTTCTCAGTACGTTTTTCCAATTTATTTTTTAAATTTTATTTGACTTGAAAAAGTTTTTGCTTATTTTTTTAATATTTTTTCGCTTGTTTTCAGTTTATGCTGAGTTTTTTTTAATATTTGGTAAACTTAAAAAAAGTCGTTTTTTTTTTTATTTTATTATATATATTTTTTTTTTAATTTGAGTTCAGTTTAACTTTTGAAGTTTCTCTGGTCTCTCGTTCGTTTTATGATTTACGCGTTCTTCGACTTCGCTGCGGCTTATCAAAATTTCATTTGTCTTTTAATTGTGGGATCGAGCGCACGCGTCCGCTTGCATCTGCATCCGAGTCGAGACTGAGGCTTGTCACTGCTGAACTGAACTGCTGATAGCAGCGCCAAAGGATATGCAACGCGCTGCTCTGCCCGTCGCGCAGCAGCAGCAGCAGCAGCAGCAGCAGCGGCGGCGGCGACAGTCGACAGCTGGCAATCGGCATCTCAGGCTCGTGTCCTGACACGAACGCACGCAGCCGAAGCAGCTCGACAAATACTGGGCCAGCGTATAAGTTAAGCGTTTGGGTATATTTATTGAGAGGGATATTTCCGTTTGAGGAATTTCCCTTTTCATTCAGGGAACACATTTGCAAGGCGGCCAACCTCGAGGCCCGAATGTGCTCAGACAGCGGCATACAACTAGTAAGAGGCTCTAATCGGCAGTGCCCGACTAGGTATACCCTATACCTATATACCTATATATATATCTGCGCTCATTTTCATAATATCGATAAATTTCGATCTTTTAGATCTGGTTTCTTAATCATAACTCGAGAATTATGAGAGCTACTTACGTCAAAATTGGTATGAAGGCTTAAGTAAAGTATAGTCAGCTTAGAAATGTTTCACTTTTTGTATATTTGCCAGAATTCTCGAGAAATTGGAACAAAACACTTATTCTTAAGGAAAGGTCCTTGGTCCTAGGTATATACACATATTTGTATGCCATATGTAAGCCCCCTCAAAAATCGCATTAAGTTCAGACTAAAAACAGCGGAGTTAGAATAGAACATATTTCCCAGTAAGTAGGGCTGGACTAGTGTGTGTGCGTGTGTGTCTGTGTATTTGCCTGTAAAGAAGCTAGATAACATACTACTCGCTGGGTGTAGGGTATCTACCAGTCGTGCACACCCGACCAGTTCATGCTCGCTTGTATTTCCTGAATAATGCTCTGTTAATTGTAACAAGCATAATTATTTTGTTTAAATACACTAAATTGTTGGCCAAGTTATTTCTGTTCCCAGCAAATCTGTTCTCACATTGTAACTGTGCCCTACTCAGTATTTTTGCCGGCTGCTGTTGCTTGGCATTCGTATTATTATTATACTCTTATACGCAGCTCTTCGAATTGCTTGCGGCACGAATCCCCAGCTGCGCTGCCGACGTCGACGCGTCGTGTGTCGGCAATTTTTCAGCGAATTACAACGCTTGACGCCACGTGCTGCCGCTGCCGGCGTCGCTTGTGCCGTTAGCTATCGCTGGCGTCGCTGCCAGCTGCCAGCTGCTGTTGTTGTTGTTGTTGTTGTTGTCTTTCGTTGCCGCCGCTGCTTATCAGTGGGCGTTGTGTGTAGGCTGCGCGAAACAACGCCCCCCACTGCCCAGTCTCCCTACGCTGTAATGTAATGTCCTTCTCGTTTTGTCGCGCTCGTTCAAGTCGGGCCTTGCGCCTTGCGAGAAAAGCTTTGATATAAATTCTTATTGGCGCATTACAAATTGTCGTCTTCTGTGTGCGCGCTTGTGTGTGTGTGTGTGTGTGTGTGTGTGTGTGTGTGTGTGTGTGTGTGTATATATAATGTAATCACTCACATAACACAAACATTTTCAATCACACCCACACACACACACATACACAGACAGCGAGTCGCTTATTGTTTGTTTTGTCATTAGATTTCGCGCATATTTTTCCGTAATTAGATTTTCACTTCATTTGCATACAAATGATGCCGAGCAAAAATCAAAAACGAACAAAAACCAAACAAAAACAAAAAAAAAACTAAATTATATACATATTTTCACATTTTCATTGTCTTAGATATGCCGTTGTCTTTGTTAGCGCCCCGGGCTCAAGCTCAAGCCCAGCCCCCGCCCCCGACAGGGCCATGCGCGCATAATTTAAGGGCGGGCAGCGAGTTTCATCAGCTGCCTAATGTCAATTACTTATTTCATTTACTTCTCCCACTCGTCACTCGCTACTCGTTTATTATTATTAACACACAGTTAATCTGTTTGCCTGTCTCATATAAATTAAGCCCAATCAAGAGTTTGTTCACATTTACATTTTTACTCTTGATATTTGTACACCCTATGCGACACTCGCTACTTTCAACTTCTCACTCACTGCTCGCTACTCGTTACTTTTTACACGTTAATTGGGCTCCGACTCTCTTTACTCGTAATTCTCTAGTCAGTAATTGTCTAGTTAAACGCTGCGTGAAAATGCCTAGTCTTTACTAGTACTCGCTGAGTACTACTCGTTACTTTCTACTTGTTATGCCAAATCCTATTTCCATCTCTCAGTGAACACAAGTTTAAGAGTTAAGCACCATATCTGTTATACGACTATAATTTTAGTCTTGACCTACTCGTTACTCGCTACTTTCTGCTTGTTACTCATGATTAGTTTCTCGCTTGTTGTTTCATCTCACGCTTAACTCGCCTAAAAAAATTATTGTTTTTCTATTCCGCAAACTCGACCTTCGATCCTTCTTGCTCGCTAGTCGTCACTCGCATTGCTTTATGTTACTATTATTAGGCTCTTTCAGTTACGTCTGCCGCCTGCTCAAAGCACATAATTCGTTACACGCCGTTTATTTCATTACTCGCTGCACCTTGGCCTCTTCACCCGCCTCTCGTGCGAACCGGGCAAAAGGTAAAACAGAAAACAGAAAAATAAAAACGCAATCAGCGTAAAGAGCTGCTAATTCAATTCAAATGTCTCAGCTTAATTTGAATGGCGTCTCGTTGCATTATTAAATGCCGCGCAATTCAATCAAACCAACAACACACAACTCACACAAACACACACCTGATATTACCCAGTCCCGACTCTGTCCGCAAAAACCGAAACCAATCACTTGACATTACAATTGAAAGCCAAGTCAGCCCCCCAGCGATAACAACAACAACAAACACAACAGCTCAACAATAATAAATCCGTATAAAATTCTATACGTCAAATGGACTTTTAAATGCTCTGCTCTGTAGCATTAGGGGTATTCCACGCTCAACTATAAAATTTAAAATGGGTTTTAATTATATTATATTACTAACATGACATAGTCGAAGTTAGCTTAAGCTTAGCGTATGGCAATATATTCACAAAACTTATATAAAACCTAGAAGCAGAATAGCTAACCAACTTCTGATTCTGAATCGATTACAGATTTAGATTGATTGCAGCTTTGAACGATTTTCTGTTCAGACTTAGAGTGAAACCAAGTCAAGTCTTAGAGCTAGAAGCGCCAACTTTGCTTGGCATACTCAGCTCTAGCTCGTGTCGAACTATCGATAACAAACCCAAAATCGATTAGACTAATTGCTTCAACTTTTCTTAAGCATTTATCGTAGTTGAGTAGTTTGGACTTTAAATTTGGAATGTAGGCAGCCCTGTTGCAGGTGCTTAACTTGCTAACTATCGATAGATATTGATTGTCAATAGCCGTTCCTTGGGTAAGATTAACAACTATCGATAAATATCGATCGTCAGCAACTGTTGCTTTGTCAAGTACTTTGCCAATTATCGATAAATATCGATTGTCAACAGCTGTTGCTCGGGCAAATTTATTGTAAACTATCTTGTCTAAGTTATCGAAGATGCCTTTATGTTGCCTTGATTTTTGGTATTTAAAAAATACTAACTGTCAGCATTATGACCTGTAAATTTCGTTTAATATCGGAAATTAAGTGAAAATGTTATTACAGCGGGAATTTTTGCCTTACCAATTGAGTTCGCAGCAGGCAAAATTTGATATATGTATATGTATGAATGTGATATCAGCTCGCAGCTGGTTACAGGGTATCTGCTAGTCGTGTTTTATTTATTGTTTTTGCTATCTGGCATTGATTAAGGCCTTGCCCTAAAAAGTATGCTACAAAAAATGGTTTCTGCGCTGTGCAATTGGCGCCTGGCGATTGTTGTTGCCAGCTCACATCTCGCGCTCAACACACACACACACACACACACACACACACACACACACACACACACACACACACACACTGGCACACACACACGCTGCAGTCAATGCAATTGAATTGAATTCGTGGCAGTTTTAATGTAATTAGTTTTTACACCTTGCCAAACAGACGCGAATGCTTCAGCTGCATGATGGTGGTTGAAGGGTGGTGAAGAAGGGGGGGTGGCTGCTGCTGCTGCTTGAAGTGTCTGCCTCGTCCCCCCTCCCAACGCCCCCGCCCATTTGTCTGGCTGCATTTTCTAATTAAAAACGGCAACACACGGGAATTGTTATTGGCCGCGCGTCGCAGCGGCTAATTGGCAACAAGATAAATCGCTGTTCGCAATTTGCCGACGCGAATTATGCGACAGGATCAATTTTTGGCCAGCGCCAGGGCCAAGGTCTTATGCGCAGCTAAACTTAGCCCGACCCGGGGGGGCCCCCTCCTCTTTTCGCACCGCCCTGCCTCCACCTGGCCCGCTGGCAAATGTTGGGCAATTGAAGT